GAGATAGTGAGAGAGAGCACAAGCAGGGGGAGCGGCAGGCAGAGGGAGAGGGAGAAGGAGGCTTCAGGCTGAGCAAGGAGGCTGACGCGGGGCTCGATCCCAGGACTCTGGGATCATGACCTGAGCTGAAGGCAGACATTTAACCAACTGAGCCACCCGGCGCCCCAAGCGCTAACTTTCCATTTCCCTCCTCTCCTAGCCCCCAGCAACCACCCATCTACTTTCTGTCTCTGTAAATTTGACTACTCTGGTACCTTATATAAATGGAGTCACTTTTTTGGGGATTAGCTTACTTAGCATAATGTCTTCAAGGCTCATCCATCTTGTCCCATGCATTTGAATGTCATTTTTTAAGGCTGAAAATAAATACCATGTTTTGTTAATCCATTCATCCATTGATGGACCCTTGGCTTGCTTCCCTTCTCTGGCTGTTGTGAATAATTCTGCTGTGACATGGGTGTACAAGTACGTTTTGAGTCTCTGTAATTCTTTCGGGTACATACCCAGGCGTAGAATTGCTGGATCCAGTGACACATCTGTTTAACCTTTGGAGGCACCGTCCCCCTGTTTTCCACAGTGGCTGTACCATCCTGTACCCAGGAACAGGGCACCCAGATTGAAAGTTTTCTCACAGCCTCACCAGCACTTGTCACTTTTCTGGGTGGTTTTTTGTTTTGTTTTGCTTTATAATAGCCATCCTAATGGTTGTGACGTGGTGTCTCATTGTGGTTTGCATTTGCATTTCTTTTTCCTTTCTCAGTGGTACTGTTTGTAGCACAAAAGGTTTTCATTTTAATGAAGTCCAATTTTTGGACCAATCTTTGTTGCTGGTGCTTTTGTGTCTATCTAAGAAACCATTGCCTAATTTAAGGTCAGAAGGTTTATTCCTATGTTTCTTCTAAGAGTTTTACAGTTTCAGCTATTACAGTTAGGCCTATGATCTATTTTAAATTAATTTTTGTTTATGGTGTAAGAAGGAGATCCAACTGGATTCTTTCATATGTGGATATCCAATTGTTCCAGTACCACTTGCTGAAAAGACTCTCTTTCCTATATTGAATTGTCTTGGCACTGTTGTCGAAAATTAATTGGCCATAAATGTGAGGGTTTATTTCTGGACTCTAAATTCTGTTACATTGATCAAATGCCTATCCTTATGCCAGTACTACACTGCCTTTTTTATTTTTTTAAAGACTTTATTTTTAAGCACTCTCTCCACCCAACGTGGAGCTTGAACTCACAACCCTGCAATCAAGAGTTGCATGCTCCATTGACTGAGCCAGCCAGGCATCCCAGTACCACACTGTCTAGGTAACTGTAGCTTTGTAGCAAGTTTTGAAATCAGGAAAATTAAGTCTTCCAACTCTGTTTTTCTTTTTCTTTCTTTTTTTTTTTTTTTAAGATTTTATTTATTTATTTGACACAGAGAGACACAGCGAGAGAGGGAACACAAGCAGGAGGAGTGGGAGAGGGAGAAGCAGGCTTCTGGCTGAGCAAGGAGCCCGATGCTGGGCTCAATCCCAGGACCCTGGGATCATGACCTGAGCTGAAGGCAGACACTTAACAACTGAGCCACCCAGGTGCCCCTGTTTGTCTTTTTCAAGCTTGTTTCAAGCTCTTCTGGGTCCCTGGCATTTTCATATGAATTTTAGGATCATCGTTGAAATTTCTGCAAAAAAGGCATTTGGCATTTTGATAGGGATTGCAATGAATCTATAGATCAATTTGGGGAATATTAATGTCAACAGTATTTAAATCTTTCTACCCATGAATGTTGTATATTTTTTCATTTATACAGGTTCTCTCTAATTTTTCTTTAAAGATTTTATTTATTTATTTGACAGAGAGAGATAGCGAGAGAAGGAACACAAGCAGGGGGAGTGGGAGAGGGAGAAGCAGGCTTCCCACGGAGCAGGGAGCCTGATGCGGGGCTCGATCCCAGGACCCCGGGATCATGACCCGAGCCAAAGGAAGCCGCTTAACGACTGAGCCACCCAGGCACCCCTCTAATTCCTTTCAACATTGTTTTATAGTTTTCAGAGTACAAGTTTTACCTTTTTTAAGTTAAATTTATTCCTGAGCATTGTTTTCTTTTTTATTCTGTTGTAAATGGAAGTTTTCTTAATTTCATTTTCACATTGTTCATTGCAAGTGCACAGAAATACAAGTGATTTTTGTACATTGCTGTTGTACCCTGCAACCCTGCTGAATTTGTTTATCCTGATAGTTTTTTAGTGGATTCCTTAGGGTTTTCTTTGTACAAGATCGTGTCATCGGCAAATATAGTTTTGTTTCCTTTCCAGTTTACCTGGATTTTTGTTTATTTTTTCTTGCCTAATTGCCCTGGTTGAACCCCTAATACAATGTTAAATAGAAGTGATAAGAGTGGGCATCTCTGTATGTTCCTGATCTTAGAGGAAAATAATTCAGTCTTTACTATCAAGTATGCTGTTAGCTGTAGATTTTTTGTAGATGCCCTTTTATAGATTGAGGAAGTTCCTATCTCTTCCTAGTTTCAGTGTTTTTATCATAAAAGAGTATTAGATTTTGCAAATGCTTTTCTATGTCTATTGAGATGATCATGTGGGGTTTTTTAAATCTTCATTCTATTGATATATTACATTGGTTTTCTTATGTTACATCAACCTTATATTTCTGGGATAAATCTCACTTGGTCATTATGTATAACCCCTTTTTATATGTTGCTGTGTTCAGTTTGCTATTGTTTAGTGAGGATTTTTGTGTCTGTATAAATAAGGGATAATGGCCTATGGCTTTCTTTTCTTGTAATGCCTTTGTCTGGCTTTGGTATCAGGGTAATGTTGGTTTTATAGAAAGAATCGGCAAGTCTTTTATTTTTTTGAAAAGTTTGTGAAGAATTGGTATTAATTCTTTAAATGTGTGGTAGAATTTACCAGTGAAGCCATTGGGGGTAAGCTTATTATGGGGTAAGTTTTTGAATTACTAATTCAATCTTTTTACTTGTTGCTTTGTTTCTAACTTGTAGATCATGCAAGCTGCTTATAGACACACAGGAGAAGAAATCTGGGAAGAGTGGGCACAGCAGGAATTGGGAAATTTGAAGGTTTCTAGTTGGCTCTGCCTGGAGCTGTGCCTTCTCTCCCTTTATCGCCCCATGTCTCCTAGAGGAAGTAGTCTTCCTTCACCCTCATGAATGAATGCTTTTGAGGTTAGGACCAGAAAGATGGAAAAAGTAGTTGGTGTAACCACACCTGACACAGGAGGGAATTAGTATTCAGACCAAGACAAGGAAGAGCAGAAGCTCTCTCAGGCCTCCCTGGGAGGCTTTGGGCTAGAGTGTGTGTGTGTGTGTGTGTGTGTGTCTGTGTGTTCATGTTCTGCCTCAAGTCCCCAGCTGTTGAGATTCCTAGATCATAACTGATAGACCACAATGAACTACCATACAGCCATTTAAAGAATGAGGTAGTGGGGTGCCTCGGTGGCACAGTCGGTTGAGCATCTGACTCTTGGTTTTGGCTCAGGTCATGATCTCAGGGTCCTGGGATTGAGTCCTTCATCAGGCTCCATGCTCAGCGTGGAGTCTGCTTGAGATTCTCTCTCCCTCTCTCCCTCTCTCCCTCCTACTTGTATTGTCTCTCTCTCTAAAATAAATAATCTTTTTTTTTTAAGATTTTATTTATTTATTTGACAGAGAGAGAGCAGAAGAGCACATGCCGTGGGAGTGGCAGAGGGAGAGGGAGAAGCAGGCTTCCTGCCGAGCAGGGAGCCCGATGTGGGGCTTGATCCCAGGACCCTGAGATCATGACCTGAGCCAAAGGCAGATGCTTAATGACTGAGCCACTCAGGCGCCCCAATAAATAATAAATCTAAAAAAAAAAAAAAAAGAATGAGGTAGCTTTTTATGTGCTGATATGAAATGATCTCCCAAGATATATCATTAAACAAAATGTGCAAGGGGCTCCTGGGTGGCTCAGTCAGTTAAGCGTCTGCCTTCGGCTCAGGTCATGATCCCGGGGTCCTGGGATCGAGTCCCGCATCAGGCTCCCTGCTCAGCAGGGAGCCTCCTTCTCCCTCTCCCTCTGCTGCTTCCCTGCTGTGCGTGCTCTCTTTCTCTCTCTGACAAATAAAATCTTAAACAACAACAACAACAACCACCAAAATGTGCAAAACAGTGTGCTGCCATTTGTTTTAGGAAAAAAAGGTGGAGAGACCCTGTAGATACACACAGGCTGGTAAATGCAGAATACCTTTGGAAGGGTACCCAACAGAAGAGTCAGGGCTAGGGGGAGACTTCTTACCACATGGGTGTTTTCTGCCTTGTGGTTATGCTGTCCTAAACAGTGTTTTTGAAGTGCTGAGCCTGTGTGAAGTGCAATGGTGAGGCTATGAGTTGGCCATGTTTGCATGTTTCTCTTGGTCAGCCCGGGCACCGTTTCTGTGATTTCATGGAAACACCCACCCCTCCAGACTGTGCATCTCTGCAGAGGTGTGTGGGGCACAGTCCAGACCTCCGTGTACTTGAAGCCTCCAGTGTTCCTCAGAAATCCCTCTATCTGTCTACCTGTGGGAAGCCAGTGGCCAATCTCAAAGGCCCGCCACGGGTGGTTCCTTTTAGAAACACTTCCAGCGGCACAGGAAAGGATTGGGACCAGGGGTGTGCTTCTCCATGGCGATGTGCTTTCACTGCCCCACCCCCAGCCTCCCTGAGGATTTCTGGCCATGTGGCCCCACACTAAAGCACCTTATCCTTTCCTGGCAGACCTGATCATGGCTCCCCAACCCCAAATAAGTCTTCAGGTGTGCCAGGCCGAATGAGCAGCCGCAGTAGCAGCTTGTCCTTTTCTCCCGAAGGCTGGCAGAATTGGCAAGCAGGAAAAAACGTTTGGTTTGGGGGAAATATCCCCAATCTTTTCTCCTTTATGAGTGAATGCTTCCCCTGGAAGATGGGGGAGCTTCCCAGCCTGGGCTTCTCTGATACCAGGGTTTCAGGCCTGGATGTAAGGCCTCTAACACTGAGCATCCTCATGTCTCTCCCACAGAGAACACCTTCTGCAGTGGGGACCACGTGTCTTGGCACAGCCCTTTGGATAACAGTGAGTCAAGAATTCAGCACATGCTGCTGACCGAGGACCCACAGATGCAACCTGTGCAGACACCCTTTGGGGTAGTTACGTTTCTCCAGGTGAGGCTGAGGTTGGACATGGGCTCAAGCCTTCCCTGGGGGAAAAGCCTTTTGTAGTACAGGAGGGCTTGGGTAGGGGGAATGAAGGCAACAGGAGATTTCCTTCTCTTCTTGCTTTTTTTTTTTTTTAAGATTTTATTTATTTATTTGACAGAGAAAGAGAGAGCACAAGTAGGCAGAGTGGCAGGCAGAGGGAGGGGGAGAGGCAGGCTCTCTGCTGAGCAGGGAGCCGGACGTGGGGCTCGATCCCAGGACCCCAGGATCATGACCTGAGCCGAAGGCAGCCGCTTAACCAACTGAGCCACCCAGGCGCCCCTCTTCTTGCATTTTCTCTTCCCTCTGCTGGCTTGTCAGATTCGGATGGTCTGATTTAGCCTGCTGAGATGGGAGAAGGGGGAAAGGGAAGGGGCCATGGGGGTGGGGGCGGGGGGCTGTGTGGAATGGCTGTAGTTGGGCGGCTAAGGCTAACAGGGCGGGTATTTTGGTGAACTGATAAAGACCCAGACAGCCGTAGGCACAGGACCACCCAGCAGGAAGGCAGCTTTGGGCCGGCCTTGCCCTCACCCAGAAGGGGTGTGCATCCACCCCCGCTGCAGCTGCATTTGCTTGTGATCATGCTGGGGTCTGTGTGAAGGTTCCCTAGTTTCCCTTGAGGTTTACACAAAGGCCCCGCCTCTGATGAGGAAAGAGAGCTTTTCTGCAAACTGCTGGGGCCCTTTGGTTGTCGTTCAGAGCTTGAAGGGCCTCAGAATCTCCTGTGTTTACATTCCCTGTGATCCTAGCCTAGGTTGGAACTCTCCTGCCTCCAGAGACATGGGCTGAGGACCCATTCTGACGTTCACCTCTGCAGTCCAGGGCTAGACACCGTATCACCCAGACACCTGACCCATTGTAGCAGGACAAGGGTCAGGCCTCAGCGCCCTGTCTGTGGACTCTTCCATCTCCTAAGGAAACCATCCCATTTTGGACAGACAAGCCCCGGGCCATAGATACTGCCTGTGGTCCCCCCACTTGAGTTGACCCTGAAAGAGCCTAGGTGGCGGTCCTCCTGGATGGGTGGGAGGAATGGCCATTAACATGCAATGGTGTCTTGTCCCCGGGTCTCAGATTGTTGGCGTCTGCACCGAGGAACTCCACGCAGCCCAGCAGTGGAATGGGCAGGGCATCTTGGAGCTGCTGCGGACGGTACCTGTGTGAGTACATGCCCGCCCTGTGAGGTGGGGCCTGGCTTCCCGGGCCTGGGGGTGGGAGTTCCTCCTCACCCCCACATGTGGGCTTCCCCTTACATTGTTTATCAGGCACTGGTTTTTCACATCAGGGACTCCTGATGATTCACTCACTCCCTGACAGTCCCTGACCTCAAACTGCTCCCCTGTGTTCTGGGCCTGGGGCAGCAAACAGGGCAGTCTGAAGGCCCAGCCCATCAGCCCCAGACCCTCAGTTACCATCCTATCCCCTTTCCTTGTCCACAGCGCTGGCGGCCCTTGGCTGATAACTGACATGCGGAGGGGAGAGACCATATTTGAGATCGATCCACACCTGCAAGTATGTCTTGAGTGAGGAGAACCTTTCTAGCACACTATGCCTAGGCCTCTTCCAAATAACACTGGCTTTCATGCTGGGAAAATGGAGGAGCTTTATTTGTGAATGAGTAGAAATATGGCATGATTTGGAATTTGTCCCCTGAATTCCACAGAGCACATAGGGAGCAGAGATTTCAGGCCAGGAAAGCTTGCCTCAGACACATGGCTTTTTGCATTTAAAAAGGGTGGGATTAAATTGACTTTTATATTACAAATAGATGGAAATTTATAATATTGAGATTGTTTGGGATGATACTACAGTAATATCTTGGTTAGAATAATAAAAAAATGAGGATCCATGCTTACTCTGACACTTTAAAACGTAAGAGCAGTTCTTGAGATATTGGAACTACGTCAAAGAAAACAAACTGGAAATTGTACTGATAAAAAAAAATAAACTAAAAAAGGGTGTGGGGGGGAAGAATGAATTTTATTGTAGGCAAGTCATACATCAATAAACCTGACTTAAAAAAAATAAGATCACCAGCTTTTCACTGTAGAAAATCAATATTGCTTGCCCAGGATTCAGCCTCCCATTTCCTGCTTCTCAAAAGAACATAGACTTTCCTTCGGAGCCACCTCCCCACCACCAGCATCCTGTAACACACAGGACGGGTGATACTGACCCACAGCCCAGCTGCAGTGGGAGTCGTGATTGGCCTAGTGATCGCACGCCCCTTTTAGATACATCTCTGGCTTGGGCAGCCAGACTCCGAGCTCCTCCCCTGCGTAGGCTGGCATTCCTGGGCATATAAAGGAAGTCGGTATATGTGCAGGCCTGCAGTTGCCCACTTACTGTGGCCCAGCTGTACAGTGACATCTTTGGTTTCTTAAAAGAAACACGCTTTGTGTGCCAGTTAATTTTGAAAACCACCTAGAGCATAACTTCCTTCCTAATGGGCTGCTCATGAAAGAGAGCAGTGGACAGCTAAGAATGTTCCTGGCATGTAGGCACTTCCTTCTTCTTCCCCTGACCAATTGTAGGCCATTGCCATCTCTGAAGCTCTCATGTCTCTCAAAATCTGGCAGGCGGTGGGCAGCTGCCGGGAGCTGCGTGTCCTCTAGGAGGGACGCGAGGTGGGAGGGGAGACGTAGCAGGGAGACATACAGCCAGCAGTCCCTGTGGTCCCTCTACTATAGACCTGTGAGATCTTGGGCAGAAGTCCTACTCATTCACACATGATGCTCCTCTATTTTCCTAGTGCCTTTAACACTGAAGTTTTCAAATTGTTGCCAGGATCCTCTGTTATCTCTCCTTTAACATTGGTTTCCCTATAGCTTCTGCTTAAGCAAAAACCAGGAACCATGAAGGCTATGTTTCCCTATGTCCTTGTTCTGCAGCCACACTGGGATCCAGCATGGGGCACTGTGGGCTGCCATTTAGCCTCGGTCATAAGCGCCAAGTACTAAGAAAGAACTTGGTCATTTGAACTAGTAGGGTAAGCAGCCTGTCCTTCTCTGCATGCCAAGAACAGTTCTCCATCCTAGTCTTCGGGCTCTGCTGAGACCAGCCAGCAGGACCCAGAACACCCAGTGGTCTTTAAAAGCAAGTGGTGGGAGGAAGGGGCTGGCTCAGTTGGTGGAGCATTCAACTCTTGATCTTGGGTCATAAGTTTAGGTGCCATGTTGGGAGTTTACTTAAAAATTAAAAATTAAAATATAAAAAAAAAGCAAGCAGGTGGCCCTGTGCACCAAGTGGGAACTCTTCTGTGCTCATCTGTAGCTGTCTGGGGCCTGCTTGCAGGTGGTTCATTTTAGAGCCGGCTCCTATTCCTTTGCTCCAGGCTCTGCTGCTAGCCAGCTCTGTGCCTAAAGAAGTCCCTTAACTTCTCTGGGGCCTCTTTCATTTTTACTTATAAAGTAAGTGGGCTGAACTAGTTGAGTCAAGAGGCATCCTCAGCTCCTTGCTTAGGTGAGGGGCCTCAGGGCAGCCAATGGAAAGGGTAGAGCTCAGACTCTACCCTGAGCAAAGCAGGGCCCACACACTCCCGCTTGGAGCACAGAACTGCTCCTGTCGTCAGCCTCTCCCTGTTTGTGCTCAGAATCCCCAGCTTTGGGGCGCCTGGCTGGCTCAGTAGAGCATGTGACTCTTGATCTTGGAGTTTTAAGTTAGAGCCCCACATTGGGTGTAGAGATTATTTAAAAATAAAATCTTAAAAAAAAAAAAAGAATCCCAGCTTTGCCCGGGCTGATTGTAGCACTGGAAAGGAGGAAAGTATGACTTTTGGAAAGGAGGCTTAGGGCAGGGCCATCTGCTGACTGGTCTCAAGAAATAAGGAGCTTCTTTCGTGTTTCCACAGATAGGCTTCCTGGCCGAGCAGCAGGCCCGTGTGGTGCCTGTGCAGCCCCCGGGAGAGGGTCAGGCAGACAGGGAGGTGCAGATTCTTACTGAGGTGCTTTCACTCACGAGCATTATTTGGCCCACATGGCTGTTTATAAGCAACGTTGCTAGAGCCTTCCAGATGACCTTTAATCCAACGCCCAGCATCACAGAACTATGTTTTACCAGAAATCCCAGGGATGTTTGGGTACAACTCTTCCTTGAGGCCATTTGGAGAGAGTTGGGACTCCACAGTGCCAAGGCCTACACAAAGCAGGGCCTCTGATGGGGTCTGCAGATGGCCACTGCCCTCCAGGCCCCCATCTCAGTCTAAGAAATGGAAAAGAAACTCCATCTAGAGTCCTTTGCCAAACAAGTTAGTGATCCAGCTGGGGGAAGTTCTGCCCTTCTGCTCTCTGGTAGCGCTTTTCTGGGTGACCACACCCTCTGCTGTTGGAAGAGGGAACTGCAGGTGTGAAGTCACCCGGTCCCGGCTTCTCCCGCCTGTGGCCTGCTTGCACCCTGTCCTCTGTAGCAGTAACTGGGGGGGTTCCTCCTGAATGGCCAGGGAGGAGAGGAAGGACTGTGCCTTTCCTCAAGGCAATGGTTCCTGGCTCTGCCACATGCACTCCACGGGCCTGCATGGGGTGGCCAGAGTTAGGGCTCTGAAACAGGTGTGCAGGTGGTTTTACTGGAAGGTCCAGATAGAGGATGAGCTTTCCTTGGGATTTTCACGTTTCCTGGCTTCCCCTGATCCCTGATATCCCCCAGAGGAGTCCATTGGCTGGCAGAGACCATCATGTGTTAGCAACCAGGGCAGAACAAGATCAGACATCCTACTCTTCCAGCACCCGTTCCGTGCTCAGCACCTACAAGAATTCAGTAAATACCGGAAAGGGGGTGGTGACCGTGGGCCACTGGTTCGCTGAGAGAACTCTGGCTCTTTGGTTCTTTCCAAGCAGGAGAGAGTTGACAAAGGCATAGAGACGGATGGCTCCAACCTGAGTGGTGTCAGTGCCAAGTGTGCCTGGGATGACCTGAGCCGGCCCCCTGAGGACGATGAGGACAGCCGGAGCATCTGTATCAGCACGCAGCCACGGCGGCTGTCCGGCAAAGGTAGCTGCTGCCACCCAGCCCTCCCCTCCCCTGTGCCCAGGCCCAGTTTTCAGGCTCTCTAAGATGGGGCTCCAGAACCAGCAGCCCATTCAATAGTTCCTCTCCTGGCAGGATTGAAACAGCAAGAGAAGTCTTCCAGTGGGGTGGCCTGAAGGGAGTTTTATTGGCCTATTTCTCTTTTGTGTTTCCTGTGTGTATTTCGGATGCACCGCCAGCGGTGACCATTGTGTTTTAGATTTGCCCCCTTGCAATCTGAGGTCATGGAGGTGAGTGGAAGCCACAGAACAGTTACAGGAAAAGGCCATAGTCCACCCAAGTGCAAAAGAACAAGCATCGGCCACCCACAGAATTGAAACAGGGCCCAGCTCTGGCCTGAAAGCCATGCCAGACCCGAGAATCACTCTGGCCTCAGACCCTCCCAGGCCAGAGTGTGAGGCCAGCTCACAAACTTCCCTGCCTCCCTGTCCTGCAGATACAGCATGAGGGGCCATGTGCGGGGCACCCTGTACCCACTGCCTTCTGCGCGGGGCCTTGGGGAAGAAGGATGTGGCTCTCCTGCTGGAAGCTCACCAAGGTGGTCTTGGTTGTAGAAACAGCTGTGGTTCTTAGCAAAGGGCATCCCTACCTGACTCCAAAGGGGAAGCAGCCATTTACCTATATGTATGTTGACAGCTTGTTTTTCTACTTTCTTTGTCTAGTTCCTCCACCTTTTCTTATTGTTTGAAGAATAAGATACCTACAGTCCTGAATAAAATGCCTGCACATGTGATAGCACTTACGGGAACTATTCTCTTTCCGTAAAGGACAACTTAAGCTCCTAGTGCAAATATCTGACCCCCTTTTGCCTTCCTGCTTGTTCTGATGGTGTGCTAATAAGCCCATGGGGGGTTCCGAGAGAAAGCATACAGTCATTCGGTTGCTTTTGACGAAAGAGGTAATTTAAGGAAGGATTCATAGTCTTGTCCAAAATGTCAGCCATTATTGGCTAATTTTTAAAAATTATAAAAGTAACCCATACCATTGTAACAAGTCAGATAGTTAGAAAAGTTAGTATTATCTCCTCTGTAGTCCACTCTAAGCCCAGCCTTTGAGCAACCAGCATTAATTTGCTTTTTTGGATGTGTCTGCTGTTTGTATCGGTAAATCGTAGACCAAAATCTCTATAGCAGACCAGAATAGTGAGCGTCACCCCAAAGATCAGCAAAGCACCTTGCAAAGAAATAGTCTCACCAAGAGATTCCTCTCTTACCCTCCTGGCTCTTGGCAGACCCATGGACAGGCAGGGTTCCCTGGGACCAACGTGGGGAGATGACCTCATCATCCCACCGGCCCACCCGAGGAGAAGGGTGGCAGGGTACCATCTGAACACCCAGAGCCCAGAAACCACGTAAGAGTTCATTCGTGGCAAAGCACTTGCAGCCCTTACTGGCATCCGTTGCAGTGGGCAGAATCCCCGGGTGGGCTTGGGCAGTGGCAAAGACCTTGTTAGTCACCGTCTGGGGCTATGTTAAGGGTAAATCTGGGGCCTGTGGCACAGGAAGGGGAAGGACAGTGAAGAGCCCTATCTTGGACAGTGCCCTTCTGAAGTCCAGAGGCCACCCCCTTGTCTTTTACAAGAATGGCACTCTTCGGACCAGAAATTTCTTGAGAGCACGGTTGCCTCATCTGCCCTGTGTCCTCACACTGCTCTCGCTCAGCTCTCAAGGCTGATGTCTAGAGTGGGCTCACGGCTTTCCTAGGACCTTTTCTTAGCATGTCTGCAGAGCCCGGCTCCAAGCGCAGGGTTGAGGGATATTGGGAGCCCAAAGGGCCATCAGGCAACTTAGTGGTGTTGTTGCAGACACGGAGCAGATCCGGGAGACCCTGAGGAGAGGACTTGAGATCAACAACAAACCTGTCCTTCCGCCAATCAACCCTCAGCGGCAGAACGGCTTCACCCACGACCGGGCCCCGTAAGTTCCTTGTCCGCAGAGGGAATTCGTATTCCAGGGCTGGTACAAGGGGGGCAGTTTGGTCCTGAAATGTCTGTCCCTGGGGCTTGCATGAGAGAGAACAATGACCATAGCCATTGCTGGATGGGCCCAGGGTCTCTGGGGCACACAGATCTGTGGGTCATAGGAAAGGGCCTCAGAGGGGACCCAGAGGACTAGGAATATAAACATCAGTAAATATTTACATGGGCTGTGTGAACAGACAGGAGGCCAAGTTGGGGCAAAATCCCAGCCTTGAGGGAGCCCATTGTGCTGAGCACGACTCCCCTCCTTATCTCGGCCTCAGCCAGAGTTGCCCTTCCTTCCTTCCTGGAGCCTGGTCTCCGGCTGATAGCTACAGCCCCAGGGGCCTCCCTGTCTGGCCAGCCCCATAGTGGATGCCTGCTGCGGAGGCCCTTTTTCCTGCCTCCCTTCCATGGGGCCTAGAGGAGGGAAGGGAAGTCCTTTACAGGCCTCTGCTGCCCATCTAGCGGCCCATATAGCCCTTTGGGAGAGACTATGGCTACCCCCCCAGAGGTCAGATCCTCTTCCTGCTGACCTCTCTTCCTCTGATAGGGGATGAATGGCAGGCAGGGCTGGAGCTGGGCACCCCCCCCCCCCGCCCTTTGAACCAGGGAAGCTGTAGGGCATAGCTGCTGGCAGGGGGTGCCTGGGAGCTAGCAGCCCAGAGCAGAACTCTTGCTTGCCAGGGAGGAAGTTGCTGTGCCCTGGGCTCAAAAGGAAGCACAGCACTCCTAAAGACCAGGGTGATCGGTCCTTCTTCTGAGAAGTCTTTATTATATACTTGCTGTGTGGCAAGCTCAGAGCCCAGGGGGCCATCTAGGATATAGGCTCTTCCTTTGGAGGTGCATGAACTGAAATTGGTGTGAGTCTGGCTGTGGATGCTTTTTGTTGGAAATAGCTACTTCTTTGAATTCTAGCTCCAGCTGCTCATCCATGATCTCCAGAAGTGGTAGTGATCTAATATTCTACAGAAAAGACAGGTTGGCATGATCTGGAATAGTTAGGGAGGGCTTCTTGGAGGAGGAAGAACATGAGACAGACCTTGAAGTTGCCCTAGAATTTTCAAGCAGGAGAAGGAGCTGACAGGGATGGAACAGGGGAGGCCTGGCTAGCAAAAGTCAAGGCTGCAACCCAGGAGCAGATTGTGGGGAGGGAGAGTTACTCTGGATGCCCAAGATGGCTCACCTGGAATCTGCCATCCAGAAGCCACGCAAGTTGAGCTTTTTGGCAGGAGCCTGGAGAAGCCTCCACTGCCACCTCCAGGCAGCTTTCAACTCTAGCCAGTGAGTTTCTCCAGCCATCTGCTTCGAAGTAGCTGGCATGAGGCACCATGATCTTCCCCTGGCAGCAGCAGATGGCCAGGCTGAGGCGTAGGGCGTCTGGAAGCTCTCCACCTAGGAGCCCATGTCCCGGGGCCATGCTCCTTCCCATGCCCTGAGCTTGGCTTCACCCTCTAGGCCCCGTTGGCTCTGGCTGGGAGGTACTTGAAGGCTTAAAGCCTCAAGCATATTGCCTATAACTTGTAGACAGTCTCAGTTCAGATGGCCCTGTCTCCTCTGGAAGGTTCAGGTTTCTGGGCAGAAGGGCAGGGGCTCCTGCAGAGACACACCCCGCTTGCGGCTCTTGTATATGTGGAGCAGGCTTGAGATCTCACTCACTGCTGCCCTTCCAGACACCGCGGGGGGCACAAGGCTCAGGGTTCCTGGATGCATACATACAGCCCAGACTCAGCCCACCCCTGACCGCGCAGAGGGGCACTGGATCTGGTCCAAGGGCTATCTGTAGACACAAGCTAAGAGCTGCAGCCTCCACCTTTGGCCTGAGTTGACTGAGCTACAAATAGATGGGTGGAAATAGATCAGGGGTGCCAGCCCTTTGGGGTCATCTCCCCTCCCTGCAAGCTCAAGTGACCAGTCAGGTCTCCCCATTGGTGGAATCTGCAGTCCGGAGGGAATCAGAATGTCTCTTCTGAGGTTCTCAGTCCTAGTTACCAATTTATTAGCCATTGGTTGAGAAATGGTTCCTGCTGCTTTGCCAAGATCCTTTTCCAACGCACCCCTCAAGTGTCTTAAGGCTCTGGCTCGCTGTTATCTCACGATCGATGATGATGGACTCAGTTTAGATCAGCAAGCACGACTGTAATATCTATGCTGCCCACTCTGGGACCTGACCCCATTTCAGATAAACCACACGGATTGTGACTGAGAAAGCCAACCCAGGATGTGCTGGCACTGGTGTTTGCTCCTCTCCCTGTGGGAACAACCAGCACAGGCCTTATTGTGTGTGCATGTCTGATTTTCCTTTAGTCAGGCTTTCTAGGCTGGGCCGTGCTGGTTCCACATGGGTCTGGGAATGGTCTGAGGAAGCTATGACGGTTCAGAAGGGCTGATGGAGCCTGGGCATTTGCAGCTGGGCTCTGACCTACTTGTGGGGGGGCGGGGCGGGGGGGGGCAAGCACTTGCTCTTTTCATTCCCCGTTAGCAGCTAACACTTACGTAGTGACGACGGTGTGCCAAGTAGTGTTCCAAGTGCTTTCCACCACATGACCTTCATTCATTCTTACAGTCACTCTGTGAAGTAGATAATCTTACCATCCCCTTTTATAGACGAGGAGACTGAGGTACAGAGAGGCCAGTCAGTAACTTGTCTAAGGTTAGAAAAGGATGGTACTTAGGGCAGTCTTCCTTAGTGTGACCTTTCTTACCCCATTCTCAGGGACCCTATGAGGGACACAAGGCTGTGTCTCTCAGGTGGTAGTGACCCTCATTGGTGGACCTCATCTGTCTAGTTGGAGTAGGAATAGGGACCTGTCACGTGACACTGAAGACAAGGCTAAGCCCCCTGTTAGAAGCTTACTGTGCATATTTAACTCTAGGGAGGACAGTGGTCAGCTTTGGTGCTTCCAAATCCCAGAGATAACAAGCTGTATCGTAATTGGCTCGTTTATACCAGAATTACTTTCTGACACAAAGCCTTGTTTTCTTTATGTTCAGAAACAAAAACCAACCCTATCTCTGTCCCCTATACCACCTCAGGGCTAGGGGATTTCTTTCTTTCTTTCTTGAGGCCTTACTTCCTGCTTCCCAGAAAGGCAGGCCCCTCTGGGTAACCTGCTCCTCTCCCACTTGCCCTCGCCAGCCCTCCTCCCACCGCCTTCCCAGAAGGAGAGTCCTTGGCCTGTTTTGGGGCTTCTTTCAGGGTTTCACAACCCTTGCATTCCAGCCGTGAAATTTGTATCTGGCTTTTCCCAAGATGATCAGTTGAGAAAAGCCTCCTTCGGCTTGCTGGCGCCTCCCTTCCCACTGCCTGCCCGGGTGAGTTGGGGAAGCATGGGAAGCCACTCCTTGCTGCCACTGAGGAGAGCCTGGCTTAAGGACTGTGCCTGCCAACACTTGTAGGGACCCAAGGGGGGAAAAAGGCACCAGGCATCTTCTCTGTCTGAGGTTGCCTGGACTGTTCTACGGAGTTTGGATTTTGCTCCCCAGCCTCTCCACGGGGACTCAGAGGATGTGTGTGGTCAGGTGCATCAGGTGGGGAGCTTTGCATTTCCATAACCTTTTGCTCCAATGCTGGGAACCTGTGGCAGTGTTCCAGAACCTCCTCCTCCCTCCACCAGGGTCTCACTGCCTGAGGTCAGAGGACCTTTACGAAGAAGCTCTCCGGGTCACATACCCTCTGGGAGAGGGGCAGTGCGTGAGTGTGTGTGTGTGTGTGTGTGTGTGTGTGTGTATGCATGCGGATGTGTTGGCGGGGGAAGGTCCCTGACTGTGAGAAAAGCACTTTGTAGTTGAGGCACCTTTAAAAAGCAAACTAACCATCATTTCTGAGCCAAGTTTCTCAGTCTTCTGGAATCATGCCAGCAGCTTTTAAGGCTTTTTTTTTTTTGGTGCCTTTTTGCCTTAATTTCCTGAAGAATTAAGGTTTTGTAGTATGAATTCTCTGGTTGTGACTTTCTCCGCTGCACAGCACCCCCAGCCCCCCAGCACACACACATGCTTGCACATGTATTTCTCTCCACTTTTAGGAGTGTCTCTGCTCCCATCTGTTTGTCGGATGGGGTGACCTTGCTGCCTCTGCTCCCATCTTGAGTAGCTTATAACCTGGCCAGGGAGTCATCCTTTAGAGAAACTTTGTTTTGTTTTACTCACCCTATGAGGCCCATGACGATTAATTAGAAGAAGAAAATACCTAGTCTGCGCCCAGTGAACTGGGTGAAGGAAGGAGAGTTTCCATCTAGGAAAACAGCTGGGCCCCTGGCACTCACAGCTCACGCACAGGGCAGTCTTGGCTGACCCTGTTCAAAGTGTCTAGGGTATCTGCAGCGGCCGGCCAGGAGCCTGCGTCTGTCCTGCTGGCCTCCCTCACCACTCCCACGCTGGGGGAAATATGGTTGTTTTCACTGGAGAGAAGACCCAGAAAGAAACAGCTCTGCCCTCAGGGCTGATAGGAGGAAGGGCCCAGGCCTCTGTGATTCACGTGTGTCCTGCTGAGTGCCTGCCTTTGTGTGCCTTTCTCAGAGACACCCGTTTGAGAGGGCAGAACGAGGGGCTCCACAGCAAACCTGGCACAGACAAATTTCTGTTTGAACTCCTTTCTCTGCTCCACTTCCCCAGAGAGATGGAGCCATGGCCACTGTTTCCACCGTAGTCTTCTTTATATGTTTTTTTTTTGTTTTTTTATTCATGAGAGTCAGAGAGAGAGAGAGAGAGAGGCAGAGGCAGAGGGAGAAGCAGGCTCCCCGCCTAGCAGGGAGCCCGATGCGGGACTCGATCCCAGGACCCCGGGATCATGACCCGAGCCGAAGGCAGACGCTTAACCACCTGAGCCACTCAGGCGCCCAGTTTTCACCGTAGTCTTGGAGTTCGTGGCCCGCATGTTGAATCCTCAGTCCACAGCGCATCCCCTTTCTTCAAAGTTGCACAATCAGGAGTATTTTTATCGCCCATCTTTGATCCTCA